GGGGTTTCCACAGATGAAGTGCTGGCCTTCCCCACTGTACCAAGGCTGCACTTCTATGACACAGGCACAGTTCTTCTGGGACCTCAGCAGTTTGCAGCTACTGACCATCCTACACGTTCAGTGTGGCCTGGGAAGCAACTGCGTATCTGCACTGGACAAATTCAGCTGTATGACCAATCACTGGAAATAACCATCAGAGTCTTCCATCGCTGGTGTGTGTGTGGTGGTGTGTGTTTGTGTGTGTGTACATGTTACAGAATGATCCGCTGCAATGAAGTAGTTAGTATACATGCATGGTATAGACTAGGAATGACATAATCAAAGGTAAGAGCTGATGTTTAAAACTTTATTATTTGGGGAAGGGGTGTGCCAGGTATGCATAGATGTCAGAAGACAATTTTGTGGAGTAAGTTCGCTCCGTGGGTTCTGGGGATCAAAGTCAGGTCACCAGCCTTGCTTGGGAAGCACCTTTACCCACTGAGCCATCTCACTGGCCATGAGTTTGACTTTTGCTGTGGTGACTGAGTAAGTTATTTTTCCCACTTTTATTTCTCTTGATGTAAGTTGGACCATGAGTAAGAATCAGCACATTGGTGGCACTTATGTGGCTGTGACACTGGCATAAAGATCTATCAGTGAAAGGGAGCACTGAGAACTCAACATAAATGAAGCAGAGGGAGAAGCTACTGACTGAGTGTCCTGGAGTACCAGTCAGCTTTGCCCTCCACCACACACGCACACGAACGCAGCACACACATGCACATGCATGCACACGCACACACATACGCACACTCGCCAAAGCAAACTTCCACTTCAACTGCAAATCCATAAACTTTACAACAAAAAGCCACATTAAATATCCCTGATTTCTGGTTAGAAAATATTTTAAAACCCTGGCAGAAATTATAATAGAAAGCAACAGACTAAAGCCATAAAAATAAATCCTTTTAAAATTTTTAAAGCAATTAGGAAACAAATAAAAAAAATATGGCAAATGTCTCTGGTCATTAATCTACAAACAATATCACAAGCAAGAGGGACAGAAGACAGGACAGCTAGTTTACAGAATTGTTTAGCGAGCAGTAACAACAAACTCGCCTGACCAAGAAAAAACAACCTTGTCCTGGCTGAGGCTAAACGACGGGCATCGGGTCCCAGGCCAAGTGCACAAGATGCTATTCCTAGTGGAGCCACACCCAGGAAAGAGCTCATGTTGTCTGCTCCCTTGTACACAGCAGGCCCTGCCCTGGTGATCCCACTACTTTCCAAAACCCTTCTTCCAATAATCACATCTGGGATGTGACTTCAATGGTGGGGGGACAAGGTAGCTCAGGTAAAAGGTAGGTGTGACGCAAACTTTCTGCCCTCAGCATTAGAAGCCACCAGGCAGAGCGGGCCAAGTGCTAATGGACGGCCGGCCGTTGATGAAACAGGAACGTGCACATCGTTCGGCGATGTCCAGTCTTCGGCCTGGTGTCCACATTTTTAAATCCAAGGAATGTCTGTCACAAACGTTGACAAAGATTTCTGCCCAATTTTGTTCAAGAATGTTGTTTATAATGTGAAACACTGGCAGTGATTTAAAGTACAATGTTAGGCAAAGTTATAAAAGGATCGCAAATCTAGAAGACGCATGACTTCCACACTGTACTTCAGGCAGATACACCGTTATGTCCATGAAGAACTGTGACATTAAAAACATCGTGGGCTTTAAAGGGGAGATCATAGAGTGGTACATGAAGTATTTAAAATAAAGTATAAAAAGACAAAGTGTGACTGTGGACAGTGAGTGCCTGAAAGTGGTAGTTACTTATTTGTGTATTTTAAATCTTCGACATGGGCTGTGTGTTATTAAAAACCCACAGTCATTGTAATACATATTAAAAACAAAAATGCAATACTGTACAGCTACGCACCCAGACACACAGAGACAAAGGGCACACTGAGGCCATGCTATGGAACTTTGGTCTATATGGGGTTCAAGGAAATGAGGGTGTGCTTATGGCTCTGGTTTAACAGTGTTGTCTTAAGAAACCGCCACTGGAGAACACGGGGAGCTGAGTTCCTGGTTACCATTGCTGGATCCTGTACTTGACAGAAGAGCTGGCCACAGGTGACGGTCTCCAAGGACCAGAACACATCAGCTCAGTAAGAGCACGACAACGTGGAACAGGGACAGCACAAAACTAAGTGTGTTAAAGAGTGCCGATACTGGCCCGCAGGAGAGAGGCTGTAGACCCACATGCTCAGGAACTGGCAAGAAGATAAACTCGTGGAACTGAAATGGGCAGAAAACACCAACGACTGTGGGTGCTGACGTGGCTCTACCCGGGAAGAACCACACTCAGCAGAACAAGGGACCCAGCTGACGATCAACCGGGCTACTTCTGGCTAGTAGTTTTTAACTAATTTATGTAGCCCTGCCAATATAGTAACATTTGAGAAAATGTCAGCACTTGTTTAAAACAATATGTGAGGAAATATTTGTTTTCTTAATATTTAACCAACAGGTTGTGCTGTTTTGTGTTTTACAAAATAATAAAAAAAAGGCTACAGTATACAGACAAAACCATATCACACACATTTTATCCTATTTTAAGCAGGAATGTGTTTAAAACAGAACTTGGGAGTTGATTTTAGGTGTTACAAATACACTTGGGACCAAACAACACACTACTCAGTACTACAATCCTATATTCTAAAGAAAACAGGAGTCTCTAAGGCCCCTTCTCCTTCGGACCCACGGTAACTCTGGGATGCTGACAGCCTCTGGGTCTGCAGCTCAGCTTTGCACTTCTGACTGCACCTTGTTCCAATAAGATCCGCGTCATGTGACAACTCTACAGTCCACAGAGCCAGTCACAGTCCCATGCTTCTGTCCACAGAGCCAGTCACAGTCCCATGCTTCTGTCCATCCACACCACAGTCTACACAGTACTGTCTTCAAAGCAATCCAGTCTTTAAGCACTGAGGTGATGACTTTGGGCCTGTCCTAGGCCATGTGAGTCAAATTCTGAACACACCACGGCTGCCCACACTACCTGACACAGTACACATGGTACAAACAGACAACTTGCTGACCCATCACACCATTTGTCCAGCCCGGATTGCTCTAAGTGCAATTTTTGAGGAAGGTCTCTTAAAATTGTTCGTAAACATGCTAAATTTTCTGAGCTTTATTCCCAAACAACTTGAAAAATACTCTATATGTCTTAAAAGTTTTCCAATCACAGAAATCTTACATCTAGTGTAGGAGGTACCCAGCTACAATATCTGCAGCTAGTGGGGTGCACAGCTGTAGGCCCTGCAGCTACTGCCTTTGGGAGGCAGACACAGACAGGTCAGGAGTTTGAGAACACTTGGTCTATACAAGTCAGAATGAGAAAACCAGAAAAACAAATTAAAAAAACAAAAAAACCCAAAACAAACAAAAAAAAAACACCTCTAGAGAACTTGGGTTTATTTTGCAAATTATCATTTCTATAAAAATGAAACTTGCAAAAACAAAAAAATCTAAGTGGGGGAGGCTCTGTCCCCCACTGACAAGACTCCCCCGAAGGGCACCCTGCCACTTCTCGTCCTTGGTCCTGCCCACACCAGGTGACTGACTGGTGTCCTCACGCCATCTATCTTCCGTACTTATGTAATCTGACTTTAGGACGTGGAGTTCCTCTCAGACTCGCTGTACTTACTGTGCTCTTTCTTTGTGCACACAGTAGGTTCTCAATAAGTGCTTGTATAAAAGAACAGATCCATGCAGACCAGACTTTATTGTCCCAACAACTTGTATACTACGTCAAGCAAAAGAGACCTTTATTTTAAGTTCTTTATTCCGTAAAAGCAAGGAGCCTGCTGTGCGCTCTGTGCAATCCGGGAAGCGCACAGCAGCCAGAGCCAGCACACACGCTCCCAAGCCCCACACCACATGGGTTGTGACGACTAAGGATTTGGGATTGTATAAATTATCCTTCAATAACGTACACAAAATATTCACTTTAATAAAGTTTGTTTTTCAAAAAAAATAGCCACTCAATTATTACTAACACTCTAGAAGACTCAAATGAAAATAAAACAGAAAACAGAAAAGGAGAAGAAAGTCAAGCGACTAGGCAGAGAAGGCGGCTCCCGGCATCTCATTTACTTCTGGGCTTTCTTTCTGGTTCGTGAACCTTGAAGAGGAATCAGAGAAAGTCACATAAGCAATCATTAACTTACAAAAGCACAGGATCAGAAATACAAATCTCTTCATGTCTGACTGACTGACGGCGGCTGTGGAGATGAACGCCACACGGGCCCACACTGCAGCTGCACAGTCTAGGAGCCGGAAGGTTACTCTCCAGCTCTACCCAGCAGTAAAGACACCCAAGCATCTCTCCCTAACTCTGTATTATCACATCAGAAGCACGGACTTCCACTGTGACTCTCGAGGTTCCCCTCCTGGGGGACCCTGGGCTCACACCGACACGGCGAACAAGATGTCCTCCCTGCTGGCGCTCATGCTCCTCCTGACTTAGGGACTGCTCCTGTCCACCTCACAAGGGCCTGGCCTTCTCCAGGCCTGACCACACTGCCCAGCCTGGCCTTCTGTTCTTCCCAGCCTCAAGCTCACTGGGCCAGAAATGACCAGAAACATTGGAATGAGGGCATCCTGGTAGTCAATAGTTAACCAACTTCTTTTTGGAAAAGAATAGAATTTTCTTTGAATCTGAGACAAAATTTCTAATCCCACACAAGTAATTACAGTTTCTAAAGGTATTCTGATTATGGGCGTTTTTAGTTACTTAGCTGGAAAATCAGTTTTAAAATTAAATTTTTTTTCAGATGGTTTCTGTTCAACTGTTGTTCAGTGCAGTCACAGAAAACCTTAGACTTCTGAGTATCTTCCCACCACTCAGCCCGTACACAGCGCTGAGTAACAACCTAGAGGTAACAGCCATAGCTAGAGGGACTCATGAGGCCCCACCCGCTCTGAGCAGCTCAGGCAGTCAGCGGTTGCTGGGGTAGTGGGAAGGAGGTCTGGCCCGGGACCTGGGAGAACCTAATCAAACTCCCTGGGAAGGAGTGGACTGACTGGGTAAGGGAAAAGATAAAGACAGGAAAGCAGAAAAGGGATGAGGGTGGGGTCTGAGGGGGTGTGGGGGGAATGGAGAGGGTGAGGGGTCAGCAGGATCAAAACACATTCTACAACAGAACGAGCACCACAACAAAACCACTGTCATATATAAGTAACCCATGCTAATAAACATAAGCTAAGAGCCACGGAACCATGGTGAAATAAAAAGGTTTTGTGTTGGAAAAAACAAACAAACAAACAAACTAACAAACCAAAACCCCCCATGGTATATTCTGAGGGTTTCACATATGAAATAGACCTGCTGCCATTCCGAGACTGTCCTGCAGCCAGCTCAAGATCAACACCTGAGACAGGTGACAGGCACTCGGATCCAAGCAACACTGCGCTTACATGTCCTGACACTTTACTCTTAACCCAAACGCTGCTGCTTACCCCTGCGGTCTAGACTTAGCATGCCCTGCTGCAATTCCAAATGCTGCTGCCTCCTGGAACCTGAAGAAAATCAGAACTGACTGTCACCAGGAGGCTCATGGAGTCTGTTATAGTCATGTCTCTATAACACAACCATGTTCATAACACAATACAGTTACAGTTAGTAACAGAGCTAACTGTAAAATCTGATACTTGAAAAATAACATATGTGAGTTTGGGGAAACTTGCCCATCTTTTCATAAACAAAAGGTGAAAGTAGGAAGTCTCTCAGCAGGGTTTTCTTGGAAACATCTGGTCCCTGACTAGTTGGTATTCTCCCAGAGCCCTCTGTGCTTCACGGCTAACTAACCCCCAAGAGTGGTCTCCACTGTCCAACAGGGGACGGGTACAAAGCCATCAGTATCACGGCCACATCAATTAATTTCCAGTACAATTCTGGGATATTGGCACAGTTTTAAGATGACAGAATATTCATGGTTGTTAAGGCTAATCATTTAGTGAGGGGGGGGAAACTACATGCAGGAAATAACAAAATTTCCTCAATTGGTAAAAATTACGCCGTACATAAAAATAAAAGGCTTAGAGGCCCGTTCTTCCAGGTACCGCCCATCACCCCCCCACACACACACACACACAGCCTGCACAGTAACACACAGAGAGCTTTCAGAGTGCGTTCCTACACAATAGACCCCCAGCTATTCAAAATGAGTTTAGGTGTATCAAGAAAATTACACATGGTTTTAAAATGGTCTAAATAGATATTAAAGGAAAGCTGCTCCCATTCTGCAAGGCACAGCACTCCAAAAGATCACCGGTGAGAACAGTCTCTTACCACACTGTAAACCAGAAACTGTGTTTGAAAATAAAATTGTTAATGAAGAAACTGACATTTGTAAAGCTGCCGTTAAGGTAGCCGTTCTTGAAACACATTTAAGATACACAATCCTAAAGCCCCAAACCACAAGATTCATGGAGTTTATCCCATTCCTCAAAATATTACAAGAGTCCAGCCCAGCAATGTGCTTGCCATCAGGTACCTTAGCTGATGACTATAAGCGTACACGTTTGCATGAGCCTTGGCCCGTCGGTTGTTTGGTTTGGTTTGGTTTGGTTTTTCTCTAGAAGCAATAACGTTTACCAACCACCTCAGGCAATACTTCCCCCATCAAGATTCTGACAGTAAAATAACTACTCTAGTACTTTAGGGGGAAAATGGCCTACAAGAAAACACAAAAGACATTTAGGCAAATGCTAACACACTGGTGGGCCCCTTTCATTGCAGCTCTTGAGAGGCAGAGGCAAGTGGATCACACTATGATTTGAGGCCAGCCTGGGCTACACAGAGCTACAGGCCTGCCAGGGATACACAGTAAGACTCCCTCAAAGAAAACAAAAAATTAAAGTCATTCTGAGTTTGCATGAAAGTAGAATCTAATTATTCTTCATTATCTTAAAATGTTATAGTAGTCCAGTGGTGGTGGCACACACCTTTAATTTTATCACTTGAGAGGCAGAGGCAGGTGGATCTCTATGAGTCTGGGGCCAGCCTGGTCTACAGAGCAAGTTCAGGACAGCTAAGAAACTCTATCTAGAAAAAAAAAAAAAAAGTCATGCAGCAAAGCAGCCTGAGTGGTCCTTATGGCAGGAGTCACAGCTCAGTGACACTTTGTCAGCAGCCTGCCAGCTACTGTAACTACAATCCGACCCCAAACTGCCAGGACCAAGATGAGGTTTCATGGTTAGACATATTCTAAGCCACATACTCTCATACAGGCTGCCAACACCCCACGGGCAGGTAAGAAAGCCCGCTGGACTACAGCACATCTGGGGCCTGCCTGGATGACACCTGGCTTAGTCTACCACGCCTCAGGACTTGCATAAGCTCCTATGACAAGGGATGCTTTAATGCTTAAGGGTGTGCTCAAAGAAAGAACAGAGCTGTCTTCATCAGCATGACTTAGTCCGTCCCCACTCACTGTCAGAGCTGCTGCAGCCCGCCTCTGGCTGAGACGTGCTTCCATGTGCTGCTCCTCGGGATTCCTCACTTCCTAATGACAAAATGAACAAGACAGGGAAGGAGGCAGTAAAAACAAACAGTAGCAGACAGGAGACGGCAGCGTTCGAAGGAAGCGAAGGACTGTGGAGTGCTGGCCTCCAGAGTGAACCACACGCTCCTGGCGTCACAGGGTAAGCGCACATGAACCTAACCACGTTAGGTCCGTAATGTATAAGAACAAAGCACTAGTAAATCCAGATAAAGAGGGCTGCCTTCTAAAACTTGCTTTACAACCAGGGCCAGTGTCAACAGAAAGGCAAACTACTGTGCTGGCCTCTGTCACTAGGGCATTTATGCTGTGACCTTTTTGCCCAAAACAAGTCTACTCATCAGAAAAAATGAAATGCCCAAGGCCCAGCAAAAAAATAAAACTGAGAAATAGAAAAGAAGTGTTCTAAGAAGCACTGAGTCCAAGAGAGCACTGCTTGGGAACACCCAACACAGCACAGCATGTCCAGGCCCAGCTTGCAGGCGTCCACGCCACTGCTGACACCATCTCTAACTGTGACTTTACAGGTGGGACCTTCAGCACCAGTCCCTAAGCAGAAGTGACTTCCAGTCTTTGCTTGTGCGTCACTTACTTTAAACACTGAGGTTTCAAAGCTTGAGTCTGTCCCCTCCTAACTGGTGGGGACAAGCTGCATTGCAGCTTGAGTGCACAACCCCCACCTACCCACCCACCCCAGCAGAGGTGAAGAGCTTCCTGCCTGAGATGCAGTTCTGGTTTCTCCCTCCCAAATCCCTGTCCTGACTGCTGTGGAGAGTGAGTGACATAACGTGTGTATGGAAGGCACTCCTAGACATACTACACAGTACAAGCCCTATCTCCAAGGTATTTATAATCAACCTGAAGTAGTATGACTCACACAGCTAGTCCATCAGCCAGTGGGAGGAAGTGCAACCTGGGACTCCACACGGAAGGGACAGGCAAGGCTCTTCACTTACGAGTGTGCCAACCTGGGACTCTACACGGAAGGGACAGGCAAGGCTCTTCACTTACGAGTGTGCACGCCCTCTTGCACCTGTGCGTCTGAGCACTCCATGTCTTCCACAGTACACACCGTGCTCTCTTCTGCTTCTTTCTTCCGCTTCTTACAGAGGAAACATGGTTCAAAGACAAGAGAGAAAGAGAGGAATGTAGTCTGGTGCCCACATAAGCAAATAAACATAATTATACAAATAAACACATTTATGAAACTATCCACGTGTGGGAGTCTCCAAACATCCAGAAGAACCCAAGGGAAGGAGCAGAAGCCTCCAGCTAGTCAGCCTGGTGCCACCTGAGTCACACTGGTCACCGGGACAGGAAATGTTTACCAACCTCCTCTCACCTCCACAGGCCAGTGACACTCACTCTTCTGCTTAACATGGGTACAGACAAAGGCAGAGACTGCGAGTCTGAGAGACAGAAAGACATACACCTCACCTCACAGGTGGAATCTAAATTTGGTGGCGAATCCTGCTCATGAACCCACGTGTTCCTTTAGAATGCTTCCTATCAAATATTTGAGTTCTGTAAACCTGATCTGTGAGCAATCTCACAAGTAGAAGCTCTCCTGCTCTCGCGAAGCTGTGCGCAGTCTCCACACTGTCCTTCCATCTTCCATGGTCTGGGCTGTGGGCTCTGGAGGATGTGCTCCATTGCCTGCCACTCCTCACATGCACACGGGTCTACACTAATCCACTCTGTGCCGAGCCATCTGGCTAGATGACAGCTCTCTATAGGTGCATTTACAGAGGGATGCTGGCAACGAATATCAAACTTTATACTTCTCATGTAGCCTTATCCTACGTAGGTACAAATCTAATGTGTAGCGCTCTGAATTCTAACTCAAAGCCTGGGTCATTTCGGAAGGTATGTGACACATCCAGCCTCCAGAGCACGATGCAATGAGACGTCCTCAGTCACACTGTCTAGCAATTAATATGAAGTTCAACTTCATCCGAACGTGTTCCTTGCTTCGGGCCATTTTGTGTACAGCTGCAGAAGATAATATTTACTGACAGCACGGCATTCTTTCCCTAATGGTAACCATGGGTTCCGCCCTAGATAACGAAGCCGACCTGTGCAAGCTACCATGTTTCATACCCAGTGCTAAGAACCACTGTCAGTGCATGACGCTCAATCCCACTGTCTGAAGCATGGCTAAGGTGGCAGCAGAAAGGCCAGAATCAAAGAAACCTACCACACACCTGGTGGAAAGGCTCCCACACACAGAAACAACCTGATTAAACCTTAAGGAACTTTCAATGGCCTTACTTAGGAGATTTGTGTAAGGTACTGCTTCTCAAACACAGCCATGAGACCGGCTCTAACTTCACATTGCTGATGAGGAAAGGGGAGAATGCCTTACATCTTTCTTTCCAAAGTGTTGCTTCATGATTACCATCTAAACCCTGCTGGGCTGAACAGATTGGCTGGATAATTACATACAATAACTGCAGTGGGCAGGTAACCCTCAGCTGGCATGGGCAGCTCCCCTGTGAGAGCTTCCATATGCAAGTGCACTGGCGGAGCGCGTTAGGTACGTCTTTCCTGCCGGTTCACAGGCCTGATTAACGGCGGCCAAGCCTCCAAGGTTAGCGTGTCAGCAGACTTGTGATGCATTAGGCAGGGATAAGCACAGACACTTTTGTTCCTTCAGACCAAAATTAAGGAGGAATATTCCAGCACTCTGCTCTGTCTTCCAAACAGAACAGAAAGCAGTTTCCAGATTTTATAAGGTAGTTTTTAAATGCTCATTATAAAGGAAGCTAGCCAGTATTTCCTACCAAAGACCTATTCATTTTGTTTTGAAGTGTATTTAATAAAAATAAGCGTTCTTAATCTCCATACAGGTGAATTTCAAGGAATGAAAATCAGACAGCATTCAGCCAAGGAAAGGAACACCTGTGTACTGGGACGGTGGTGGGTCACATTCACCCGCCCACCAGCTCCTACCCAACTTTCTGACGGCAGATGCAGTTTGGGTAGAAAGGGTCCATGGTCTAAAGATCACTGGTGAGCAAAATAAAACTAAGCCTGTCTAGTTTAACAGTGCATACGGATGGCTCTTGGGTTATACAGCAATACACAAATCCCAAACAGCAAACTGCTGAGGCAGCTATCAGAATCCTTAGACTGTGGGTGTGCAGGTGTGGGCTCCCAAGTGATTGTGCCAATCTCTGAATCTGTGACAGTCTATGTCGTGTCTCACAGGTACCTGTATTTGCATTTATAAATGAAACCAAGATACTGTATGACACACAGGGGCAACTTACATAACACATGTGGGACAGAATTTGCTTTTAATTCAACACAGAAAAAGTCTTGAAAAACGGGCTTACTTCAAAGGACATTAGTAATATACTACAAATATTATTAAAGTGTTCAGATATGCTAGGTTAAAACTTAATTAGCTGCTTCTCAAGCCAAGCATCTCCAGGCACAAAAACACATGCCAACTCATCATAGTTGTCAGAGTCCAGTAAAGTCACCGGGCGACGCGCACGGTCACCCGACTAGAAGTGCCTGGTGGGGACGCCACGAGGGGCAGCAAATGTGAGGAGGCACAGAGCTGCAGACCAGCAGACTTGTTACAATGCACTACATGGAAAAAACAGAAGAGAGACACAATAAAGCCAAGAGCACGTGTTCGTGTGTGCCGTGAGGTGAGCAGGAGAGTAAACCACTGCAGTGTCTGGCAGGAGCGTGCAGAGGTGTGTGTTTGTCACAGCCACTTTCACAGCCATCTCCCTCTGACCTATGCTCCTCCGGCAGGGACTCCGCCTTGCCCTTTCCTAACTCCAGCTGAGCCTTACCACCATGCATGGTGGTGCACCAGAAAGCACCCTGTCCAAGTGTGCAGAGACCCTGATGCATTTGTGCACATCACAGAGCGGGCTTCACCCGTACCACCCACTGCTTATTCTGGAGCATAGCTGTGACCCTTTGGCTCAGCCTCTTGAGGACCCAGAGAAGGAGCTGTTAGAAGCCCTTCTGATAGTTATGAAAAGAACAGTTAATCAACAGGCGAGCAGAAACCCCTAGCCAGAGCCTATAGGCACACTAGGTGCAGAAGTTTCCTAGTAAGGCAGCAACTTAGACCTGGAAGGCTCCAGTGGCACATCTGAGGGCAGCACTGGAATCTGTGCAGAGAGAGCTCTCCAGGACTCTGGCTTCAGCACAAGCAAACCTGATGTTACTTAAACTAAGCATGTTTCTAGAGAGTCGGTGAACTCAGCTCTAGAGACCAATGTCTGTCCTCTCTACCACGCTGGAATTACCATAACGCCTTCCTCTGAGGACACTATCACTTATACCACTAATGTCAAAACCTTAACATGCTTTATGGACAATTCAAGGCAAAAGGCAAAAGCAGGCAGCAAGTTACACCTTAATCATCTGTATTTTATAACTAAAATCACTAGATTTTCTTTAAGTATCATGAGCTTCTCGGAGGAAAACTACATTATAGCTATAGAATATAGCTGCAAGGCCCTAGGCAACTCAGTTTGCCATTTTTGAAACTCCCTACCTACCTACACACACACCTATACACACACATGCCTACACACAGCTCTACACACACACACAACCCCACACACACTATTCAATATTTGCAGGGTTGGATGCATGAAAATGTGGGTACATGTGTGGCCAGAAAACATGAGAAAGCCAAAGAATAACTGTGGAGCTGTTACTCCACTTCTCCAGTTACATGGATACCGGAGATCAGGCTCCCGTCATTGGACTTACAAGGGCAGGGGAGGGGCCCTCGCTTCAGAGCTTCCAGCCCCTCTTTAACTTGTAACAAAGTGTCTCATGTGGATGCCACAATGCCCATCAGAAAGCAGATAGAAGGTGGCTCTGTAAGGTGCTTCTGAAGCAGCAAGTGACAGGCAGAAGCTTGAAGGGTTACTTACCAGCAGCGACAAGTCCTCTGCACCCTCAAGGAAGAAGAAAACACTTTAGACGTTAGACGTCTATCTCCCTGAAGATCAGAAAAACCAACCCTTCCCTTCCACATGGTGGTAGAAACTACCCCAGGCCTATGAGGACAGTTCCTTACAAAATGCAGAAGCCACCTTAGAATTACCATTAAAAACAGCTCCTGTGGCCCAACTCCCCAACTCACTAAACACACAAAGAGCAGACATGGACACCAGGAGTCCTCTGCTTTGCCCATACCAATCACCAGCTTCAAAGGAAAACACACCACAAACTCATTGCTGTGATGTGTATGCTTTAATACACATCGTGGGGCCACATGTTGTATATATTTATTTCCTACCAATTATCATCTTGTCTTCTGCTGCGAATCAACGTTTAGCCAGGACCATTTACAATCTCTCACACATGCATTCATCAGTAAAATCTAAACCAGGCTCCATCCTTATCAGCCCAGTACCCTAAAACTGAACTCGGTTCTGAAGATGGTGGCAGACAATAAAAGGAAAAGCCTGTTATTTTCTAAAGGAAGAAAGCAGGCGAGTTAAGCAATGGGTAAACAGCCCCCACTCTCTGATGCTTGCATGTGTTAGCAACAGTGTTGAGCTTCCAGGTTCATTTTTTATCCCTTGTGTGCTTATAAACAAGAAAGAATGCATTATTATTTCCACAGAAAACTTGTTTTTAAATTCACCCCTTATTAAAGATGCAAAGGCATGCATGCTTAGCATCCTAAAACTTGGCCATGACTAAAGACAGTTCCATCACCTGACGTTGAGGACCTCTGATAAGACGCCCTTGTGTTGCTTCACAGTCAGTTCTCTAAGAGCCACTGATACTGTACCAAATGGTCTCCTAAATCTTACAGCCAGATGCACAAGTACTCGAAGATCCAAACAGGGCATGTGTGCCATTGGCACATAAAAAAACTGGTCATGGAGCTGAAGAGTCTACTTAAAGCCCAAAATGCCCAATATTAGATAGGCTTACTTACAAAGGGGCTAACATCTACATACATCTTACAGTTCAGACCCTCAACTTTTGATGCAGTGGTTCTCAACTGCATTTGACTAGAGAGAAGAAGTGGTCCCCATGTGGCCCCAGGCCCCTCTCACTCTCATATCTCTGGTGCGTGACAGGCACTGTACGGAAACAGTAAACAGGTAATAGCATTCCAAATGGGGCGAGGAGCAAAACTAAGGACAATTACAGAACAGGAGAGAGAGAGAGAGAGAGAGAGAGGGAGGGAGGGAGGGGCTAAACTAAAACAACACACAGAATCCCCATGCTCAGAGCTGTTTATAAAACATCAATTCCTACGCAAAAAGAGATTTAAGAGGCTATCACCAGAAAAACAAGAATAAACTCCCCGTCTTCAGTAAGTCATAGATGCAAGAGAGGCTCTTGGGCCTTAACCATCCCCACTTATCTACTGGCTACCAAGGAATTCTGGGAGAAGTGGAGTCACTGTCCTCAGCTGTGCACCTGCTGTCCCCACCAGGCTCTAACACATAGCCCCAGATCTGTGGCCACACAGACCGCCCTGACTAAAGTCAATGTGCCACAGAACAAACGGCATGAAGGTAGGAGAGTCCTCTGGAAGAATGAAGACGCAGGGGGGATGAGAGCAGTCAGCATGCACTGTGTGCACGTCACAGTCGGCATGCACTGTGCACACGTCACAGTGTCCAAGACTAATTTAATAATGAAAACAGATGAAGGAACACAAAGAAAATCACCAATTCCCCTAAACGTGACAGAGAAGTCACAGATAAGGGAGGTGAGCTGGAAGTCCACAGATTAGTGTCATGAATGGAGTTAGATGTGCAAACCAGAAGCCACGCTGTATAAAGGAGAAGGAAAGGGAAGCCGGAGTCCAGCTCTCCCAGGTCTCAGCGAAGACGCTGAGAGACATGGAGAGGAAGCACCTGCACGCTTACAAAGATGAACTTCTCAAGTTCCAGGATGAGGGGCACGTCTTCAGACAGGGTTCACCAAGACCAAGCAAATGTGAGCTTTAAACTAACAGAACAACACACACACATACTCTCTCTCTCTCTCTCTCTCTCTCTCTCTCTCTCTCTCTCTCTCTCACACACACACACACACACACACACACACACACATTCTATGCTGGAAAGCAGAATATGAGGGTAGAATGAAAAGCAAGAGGCCTCAAATGTGGAGGGAAAACCAGAAATCAGGTAACAAAGACAATAAACCAGACTGGAAGCTGAGATCAGACAGTCCAGCAGTGACTCCCACCAAATTACTCTTTCAGTGAGGCAAACTTCACCATTTGTGGATTCATAAAGCTTACCATCCATAGCTCTCCAAAACAAACAAACAAACAAACAAACAAACAAAGGAACCTGAGCACAGACTCTGACAGATGAATCAAGAGAAAGGACACAGTAACAATAAAAAACAGGAAGAGAAATACAAGACTGGGAACTTCTACCCACGAAGAACACAGCACACAGAGAAATAACAGGACACCTGCACTCCTAACAACCTGAGAGACAAGCTAGGGACGAAGATACCCGCCTTGCGGAGAATGGGTACAGCGTCTCATTAGCTCTAAGTGTTCACACACAAGTCAAAATGTGTTAGAAAATTAGGGCGGGGACATTTGAGAGATGAAAACTCACAGTTTCCTTCTATCTAAAACCAGAAGAAATAAGCCCAAAATAAGCATTTAGAAACATATCTGCAACAAGCAAAAGTGGCCCTGTGGCCCCCTTCACACACAGCTGCTGAGGCAGGGCCCAGGAAGAATGGAGGCGCTTGGGAAGGAAGGTGTGATCCTGTTCACCCCTGAGCTGTACTATACTAGGAAAACCTTTCTGAAAACTTTTACCAGTAACCCAATCAGAAAGAAAGTGCTAGCAGGCAGTGGTGGCGCATGCCTGTACTCCCAGCACTTGGGAGGCAGGGGCAGGTGGAGCTCTGAGTTTAAGGCTAGCCCGGTCTACAGAGTTCTAGTATAGAACACAGAGAAACCCTGTCTCCACAAACCAAAAAAGAAAAAAATAAAAAGAAAGTACTGGCCAGGTAGCCAGAGTGCAGGTAGAGTGGGGGGCTGTACATTTAAAACACTTTTGAAAAAGAGACACCCCTCTACAGTGGCCCTCCTAGGACAAGGCTGATGGCAGAAGAGTCACTGCCCCATCAACACCTGACCTCAGGTCACAGGTGAGGTCATTTCAGATACTGAACAACCTGCTCCTGGGAATACTGGCTATCCCTAATCCCCTACACTCTCTGCCGTCGGTCTGCCCCTCCTATAAATACACCTTAGCCACCAACCCACCTATGCATCCTTGCTGAGCTAAGGCCCCGCCTGTGTGTACTGCCTGTGTGGTAGAACCAAAGGGAACCCAAAGCAGCTTCATTCAATACGCAGACGCACCTTTGAGGCTGGCTTTGTCGTCACACTTCCGTTCTCCACAGCACTAAAGTCCAGTCTGCCGTCGTCTTTACTTCCTATAGCCTTCAGCCCTTGCAGCAGGATGTCACGGAGGCTCTGATAGAGAGGCTTTTCGGTGTAGTCCAGGAGCTTCACAGACTCCATGTACTTAGCGATCTCACCTAAAAGACAACACAATCCTTTTACTACGTTTAGTCAGGAACCCGGTATGTCCACCTCATTCCTAAGAAAACAGCCACGGCCAACGCAAAACTACACGCGTGCGTGCGACACGTCAGAGTCCACGCTGTCAGCCAGAGCTCGATGCAGAGTATGCCCGTAAGCCCAACAATTTTCAGGTAAGTGAATAAAACAACAGATTTTGAGTTACAAGGTACACTTCTGCAACCCTAAGAGACAGTAAGAGGAGATAAATGACATTTCCGACACACACACAGAATGTATATATAACAGGAATCCAGAACACAGCGCGCTTGAGCTGCAGTGACCCTAGGAGCTAGCATCTTCTAAAAGAACCTGCTATGAAGTGAGAGACAGACAGCCCTGAGAGCAGACTCAAGAACAGCGAGCGAGACAGGTCCGGAGAGGCAAGGTGCCTCAGCAGGAGAAGAAATGTCACTGACAGGGCCGGCCCCACTCACAAGTGCCTCCCTAGATACAGAGTCCACTGCTCCTTCATCATCACTTCCCTGACATGCCGCCATCGCCTCAGACCCCAACTCCTGACCCTGGGAGTCTCCCTGGTCTGTTACTGAAATGGCTGCCCTCTTCCCAGGCCAAGCCAGTATCTCATGAGTCTTCCTTCTATTCCACAGCCAACACATGATGCTCTCTCGCCAGAGCGGGATCCAGGACACGTATGTAATCACTAGCTTAAGTATTTAAGTGCCACAGTGTGGCCAGGCGGTCTTAACCGGATAAAATGGAATCTAAAACACCCAAGACAATATGATCAAAACACACTATATAAAGTCACGAAGCATCCACAAATGAATAAAAATCTTAAAATTTTAAAAATACCTGAAACAAATATCAGTGTGTTTGACAAAAATAACAGAAAGTTCTCGTTTTAGAGAGAGCAGGATCCCCCTTTATCACCCTCTACACAGAACGGAACAGCCAAGTACGCTCTAGCTGTACAAGAAGGCAAGGGAACAAATCAAGGGCATCAGAGCGCCTTCAGGAGCAAAGAGCTCAACTGTACTTGCATCAAGGTCTATGACAAAATGGTCTTTGGTAGACAGATGTGTAATCCTAGCTTTCAGGAAGCTGAGGCAGGAGGAGTACAAGTTCAAGTACAAGTTCAAGGCCAGCTAGGGCTACACAGAAAAACCAAGTACTGGCAGGGAGGGAGGGAGGAGAGGAAAAGGGAAAGGAAAAGACAAAGCAAAATTTCTACGGAATCTACAAAGGTGCTAAAACTATTGTACAGCTACAACACAGTACAGAATACAAGGTAAAATACATTAAAATCTGCCCTATTTCTATATACTGCTAAAAACTAGAAATGAAATGTTCAAACCAGAACGGTTAACATAAAAAAGCATCAATTACCCAATGTGACTATGCAAGATTTCTGCAGAGACCAAAATACAAGTAGAATTTAAGGAGGGATTTACTGGAAGACTTGCCAGTGGGTTGGAAGATTCAGTGTTACAAAGGCAGCGGCTTTCAAAACTCAAACACAATCCACTGCAGTGTGAAGCTGACAGAATGACAACAGAATGCAGTTAAGAACCAAGTCAGAGCTGGAGAGAGGCGTGGCAGGAAGGAGCACTGGCTGCTCCCACAAGGACGTGGGTTCCATTCCCAACACCCACATGGTGACTCACAACCATCTAAAACTCCTGTTCCAGGAGACTGAACATCCTCTACTGGCTTCTGTAGGAACTAGGCATGCACGTGGTGTACAGACATACAGGAAAAGGAAAAACACCCCTACCCATAAGTTTTAGGTTTTAAAAAAATTCTTTAATTAAAAAAAGAAAAAGAATGAAATCAGGTTTAAAACCAGTGACACTCAAGGACTTAAGCCTTCAGACACTGACAGTTATCAAGACAGAAGCCAGCCTTGAATATCTGAGGCCTCACAGTCAAGAATAGACAAAAGGAACAGAGCCCATACCTGCATCTTAACAAAGGCGCCCTGAGAAGATAAAGGAAGTCCTGAGATGATGCTAGGCCGGCAGAGCTGAGCCCTTCTCACACAGTCCCCGTGAGGGAGTGAGTGAGTGAGGCTGCAGTCTGTGGGAAACTGGTGCTGTGCAGAGGACAAGATCCAGACAAGCAGCAGAGTGCATGAGGAATGGAACCAGGAAAGCAGGGCAGGCACCACAGACACACAGCCAGAGTCTGAGGGCACTGGGCCAGGACTGGGGACAGATAGGATGGATGGTGACAGAAGAGCTTCCCCACTCTGGCCCTCGGCAGTCTTCCCTCAAACAGGAACCAGACACATTCAATCTCTAGAGGGTGAGGCCATTGCCATCCTTCTCCTATTTCAAGCTGTACACTCAAAGTAAAAGCCAATGACCTCATGATGACCAAGAGCACAGTCCTCACACCTTCTGGGACAGTCTTCCCAGCCTCCACACAGCTCGCTTTACTCCCCACTTCCTTCAACTGCTGCAGTGTCCCTCAGCAAGGCTGTCTGATCAAGATTTACATTCCCCGCCCTGCTCTCTGTGCCTTCTCCACATTCCCAACTCCATTTCCTGTTTTCTTATTCTCCACAGGACTAACAGTATAATGTGCTAACCAAACTCCCTGTTCCATCCTTAGCTGTCCTCCGGGAGGGGTCTGGAGCAGCCTGCACTGACAGCACTCCAGTACATAATACAACCTCCATAACCACTGCCTAAGTAAACACACCACTTCCTTCCCTTCCTGAAAGCAAAGGGCAACTGTATGAGGCTCCAAAGCTCACTGTGCAAAGCTGCTTTGTGAAGGTGAACCTCCAACAACAGCAATGTCCTGAAATGCCCAAATTCACACACAGGCCGAGGCTTTGCCTCCAGAAAACACACACTGTATGAAGGTCTACGGAAGCCTTCCCTACCTGGCTTGTTTTTCTCAGGAAAGCATTTCTCCATCAAAGCTGCGACATTGTCTCTGTATCTGTAGAAGAAGGAAGGAGTCCTTAGTTATAAGTGTCATCCCCAAGGATAATAGGACACATCTCAGCAGGCAGTTCGTCCAAGGGGAACAGCCAAGTTCAAATAGTCCTGCTAGCTAACCTGTACCTTCTACTTAAACCACTGCCAGGTGTGCTGGCTGGGGCAGGAGGGTTGCTCAACAATGCGCTGCCTAGGAAATAAAATTAATAAAATAAAACTAAACTAAACTAATTATAATCTAGAGAGTACTGTCAAGAAATTCTGACAGAATCCTACGCCTCCTTCACCATCCCTGGCAGGCAGGAGAGCTGGCCTGGGGTCATGAGAATGGGGAGCTGGCCCTGCCCCTCACTGGCTGCAACACTAGAGAGTGTGGGCTCTGCACCTCGCCTGGACAGCAGGGTGGAGATGGCCCTGGTAACAGTCCAGATTCAGGGCTCTGAGTTGGCTCACCCCAAATCTACCCCACTGATGAACTGCTGGAGTCCTACAGATCCAGAAGTACAGGATCTCCATGATACAGAGCAGCAACAGGACACCCAGAAGGAGTCCCAGTGAGGACCCAGAACTGAGAAGCCAGAGGCTTTGTCGAGTTATGGCAATGAACATTTGCAAGCAAATGAGTGTAGACAAAGGAGTACACCAAGGCACACATTATGATCCACTACAGCTTCCACAAGATTTTTTTCTCTGTTGGGGGGTGGGGACGGGTTGCAAGGGTGGACGGTGGGTATGAGGGGAAGGGGAGATAAACAGGATTGGGGTGCATGATGTAAAATTCACAAAGAACCAAAAAATGTTTTAAAAAAATTTTTTTTTGCCCCATCACCACCCAACCCAGAACAGCGTAAGTTGTCCCTTACCTAATTTTGGAATCTCTAACGTAGTTAGGATCTTTCAAGTTATCCTCCCAAGGAAGAGAGCCACTGAGCCACTGGATCATGCAATAACCAAGAATTTCCAAATCACCACGTCGTGATGGGGCTTCAAACAGAACAGGAGAGTAAGCACAGTGAAACAGCTTTCCAGAGAAACATCAAGATAGAGCAGTCAGTCCACTCAGGTCTAACTTTTGGCAGAAACATTCACCTACATATAATAAGCACTGAACAACAGGCTGTGTAAAACAAATCTTTATTTCCAACTAATAACTTACTTAAAACGCAAACTGACAAGCCTCAGGGTTTGAAACTGCTACCACTAGTCTAGGAAGTAAAATCTGAAGACACCTCACACGCAGTTGTCTTTGGGAGATGAGAAGACACTGACATACTAGACACTGTCAATATGTCCTCCTCAGCAAAGGGCAGAGAAGGGCCTAAGCTACCTTATAAAAACAAAAGCCACACAGCAACTGGACAGTAGAAAACAAAGCAGCACAGAGCACAGAGCAGCACAGAGCTAAGTGAGCTGTGTGAATCCTAAGTACAGTCCGGTAACCCTGAAGACCAGGGGCATTCACAAGGGCCCTCACTCAAGTACAGGAGCCAAACCTCTGCCCTCCTTCTCCACACCACTCTTCTGGTGTTCTTATCAGTCTACGTGTTTACTCAGCATAATAAGTCTGCAGAAATTCAGACAGAAGCATCAGCACTGTGGAGGCATGCAGGCCACTATGGACGCACCCACGCCATTGTGTGCATCGATGCTGGTGAACTCCAAGGTGCCGTCGTGGCACCTTTTGGGATCTTCCTTGTACTCTTTATGAACTCCGTCTGGGCAGTACCGATAAGCAAGTCCGTAGTCGACCAAATACACCTATAAATTTCCAAGCACCAAATTAAAGACGAAAATCAATGCACATGAATTACTAGAAAGTACTGAAATAAAATACAATCACTTGGAGGTAGGTTCACTTACGAGGGCAAACAGCAGCTCTCCAAACAAGTCAAATCTGAACCGAGCACTACAGCAGGGCTGAGCCCCCCTCCCCCTCTGCAATGTGGGGATCACACTTAAAGCTTCCCACAAGCTAAGCAAGAGCTCTGCTGCTGAGCTGTGTCTCTGAAGAATTCTTACTTGTAAAAAAGCTTATTTTGTCTGCAGTATTAGGGGTCTAACTCAAGCCCTTCCTCTACCACTAAACTATCCCACCCTTCCACCGAACAATTTCTTATTTTTAACAAATGTTAAATGACCATAAAGCTACGGTGCTTGAGTATTAGTTCACTTTGCTTTCTTAGGAAAGTATCGCTAAAGTAATTAATCCTGTCTCCAGGGGCAAGGCTTACAGATGGTAAGTTTCTCTTACAGAGTCCAGAACAAAACTATAATAAAATGTAAATGCTCAAGACTCTTTCCACAAAGAAAAGGGACATGAATACTGTTAGCACACAAAATAACAGCTGTCTTCTACTCTTGATCCTTGTAGAAGAGTCAGATACCTATTTACTTCATAAAAATGATTCAAGGGCTATAACAACATTAAAACTCTTCAATGAGGTCTTTACCTACATCTTAAATACTACATATTAGATTTAGGTCTTCCAGATTAAAGCTAACTTTAAAAAAAAAACAAATAGAGTGATCCTGTGGACAAAGCCTGTTGCTCTGACTAGCACACACCAGAACATGTGGCTTCTATCTAACAGCCACACATACACCTGGTTCTGTCACAGTGCATGCACACATGTGCATGTGAACACAAAGATGGACACAGCATGAGAGAGTAATGCCATCCACAGAACATGTCATGTCTGAAAGGCCGGAGAGCTGCACACGGCTGCTGTGTGGACAGAGCCTGCTCACATCAGTCCCGTGCAGAGCAATAGGAGTCAGTGTTTTAACAGTACTCTGCAAGTGCTTCCTACTGCAGGCAGCGAAAGGGAGCGTCAGTGCTCAGGGCCTTGGCTGAGGATGCCTCACAGAGCTCCAGCCCAGCAGCTTCCTCTCGTGCACTACACTGATCGTGACGCTTGCCACAGCTTATAGGGCAAAAGCAAATGCATTGTGGTGGAAAAGGAGAAGGAAAACTAAGCAGATGGTGGTTACAGACCCAAGGGCAGAGAATGTTGTCAGGTCACAGCCCAGAGCCAAGCACTCAACACCTCCTTCTTACACAAGATCAAGAGGCAACACTAGGTAGCCTTCATTGTCACTAACAACTGCCAACTGCGCTGACCCCACGTTAAAGACTAAACTCTTCAAGTAACAGACACTTATTTCTGATGGATTTTTTGAACACAGAAAGTCATGAAGGTGACAGAGCGGACCAGCAGATCTAACTCGTTGGTGAACTTTATAGGTTAAGCTTCTCCCCCAAACAGCTATTTGAAATGCACGTTGTATCAAGCACTTGTGAATTTTATGTAGGGCAAAACAGCCAACTTGATCAGTGCCAGCAAACTGCAACAAAAATACAGAATGGCAACTGGATACAAGTATCTACTTCAAGCAGCAGGGGTGTGAGGTTCGACCCGAGCACCCCACTTGCTCTCAAGCGACGCGGTTTACAACAGTAAAAACGGAAGTTCTGAGGACCTGGTCAGGGTTCTTGTAGCTCAGAAGAAGGTTGGAGGCCTTGATGTCACCGTGCACATACTCATGCTCGTGGATGTACTCCAGGATGTCCAGCTACGGAGAAGACACAGGGAGTCAGTGCAGTACCTAACACGGCCAGCAGAGGGCTGCGCTGCAGTGCAAACCAGCCCTCACTGTATTCACAAGGAGCATAGCTCACATACAATTCTTAAGCTTAGCTGCAAGACAGTTTTCCGAGAAAACCTTTTGGCATTTGCTTCATATATTTTCTGAAGGTCACTCCCAAAGCGGTCCATTATCATAAACCTGTAACTGAAGACAAACAAGAAAACTCAGTGAGGGAAATAACTAGGAACATGTAGTTGCAATGAATATTCCCCCTTCAGGTTATGTCAAGTTAATAAGACAGTATTGTAGGTTATAAATGAGGAGGAAAGAGGCGTAAACACACACCATGAAGAATCTCTCTCAACTACATAGAAATCCCAAGAATTCAGAATGTTGAGTCATCCTGCCCTGGAGCCAGCTTGTTCTACAGGAGACAACATTCAACATAAGACAGTGCCCACCCAGAACCCGCCATTCATCTGCAATGGCACACATCCACCGGCTTCCCATAGTTAGCTGCTGGTTTTAGACAAGAGCTTCTTTCCCGTGACTGCACCTCCATTTGTAAGGCATACTTCAACAGTAAATGTTCTGTTAGGTCTAGGCTGTCAAGAGATGGCTTACAAACTACATTCAGTAAAACTGGCCGAATGATGTTAAGCGATTACATACTAAACACTCAATGGTCAGGTCTACAAAAGGAATACCCTACCAAAATGAAGATTTTTGGTTTTGCCATTACCCTCCCATGTCACCTGGAGCAGGTGACATTACTTTCTAAAGCCATAAATTTTGGCGAAGTGAATGAGGAGGTGGGTGTCATCCTTCCCAGGGACTCAAACTCTAGGTGTGCAGAGTCGCACTGGAGACCTGCGAGGAGGACACTGCCCAGCTCCTCTGAGTACCACCCTCACCTCCACCAGTCAGTCTATGTAAATCACTGAAACAGACCACAGGACAAACGCTCCCGTGGAATGCTCACACCACAGCATTCGGCTTTATAACAGTGAACTTCAGTGAGCTTCTAAGGAAGGGGCAGCCAGCTAACATGAAAGGCAGCAAGTAATAGAAAACATAGGGTCCTATCCATTTCTGAACCAGAAGAGAACTAGAGATTCTGTCTATGAGTATCTTAATGTTGTAGCAGGTAAAGTCTATGTCAAAGTTACACTGTCAAATAGAAGCAAAATATCCTCATTTGTGTTAAGACTCCCACCACCCTGACCTGTAGAGTACAGCCATGTGTCTTCCCAGTACCCTGGTTCAGCAAGTTGTGCAAGGCTGAGAGAGACGAGGAGGATACACTCATTTGCCTTAACAAACAAGTTAACCTGTGTGATCACTACAATCGTTTGAATAACAAAGAATAACCTGTGCCAACAGTCTGTGTCTTAGGGTTACTATTGCTGCAACAAAACACCATGACCAAAAATCAAGTGGAAGAAAGGGTTCAGTTGACTTACACTTCCATATCACTGTTCACCACCAAAGAAAAGTCAGGACAGCAACTCACACAGGGCAGGAACCTGGGGACAACAGCTGATGCAGAGGCCATGGAGGGCTGTTGCTTATTGGCTTACTCTCATGGCTTCTTGCTCATACTGCTGTCTTACAGATCTCAGGATCAGCAGCCCAGAAGTGGCACTACCCACAGAGGACTGGGCTTTCCCACATTAATCACTAATTAAGAAAATACCCACGCCTTTAATCCCAGCACTCAGGAGGCAGAGGCAGGCGGATTTCTGAGTTCGAGGCCAGCCTGGTCTACTGAGTGAGTTCCAGGACAGCCAGGGCTACACAGAGAAACCCTGTCTCGAAAAACCAAAAAAAAAAAAAAAAAAAAAAAGCAAAAAAAACCCTACAGCCAGATCTTTTAGAGGTGTTTTCTCAATTAAAGTTCCTTCATTCCAGATAACTCTGGCGTGTGTCACATTGACAAAAAACTAGCCAGCACAGTCTAGAGGAGGATAAACACACTGTTTGCTTCAACCCGGGAACTACTACTAATGCAGATTACGCAGGACTCTGTTTTTATGCACAGATCATCCTGCCACTAACGCTAAATGGCCCCTAAAACTTCCTCACCAGTTCTAAATGACAAACAATTGACACACACAGCACATTCTCCTGAGAGGGCTCAGGGACAGAATAGTGAGGGAACTGCTTCTGAGAATGTCTATCAGGCCAGGTCTCTGACGCTTTCTTTTCTAGGGACTTAGTTAAATGCTTCAAGTAATAGGAAAATATCAACCAGTTCAAACAATTCCAAATGGAAACAGTGAGTATTTCTACAATCCTCACACTGCTCTGAGCTGCCTCTCCCTCCCATCACTCAAACACAAGTGAAAGAGAGCTAGGCCGCTGGCAGGGAGGAGGCTAGAAGGATCCTCTCTCTATTGATTTCCTTCAGAAAGACAGAGGTACGCGATTGATTTTAGTGCTTCAACCTAACAGTTAACACTTCATCCATGACCAGTCTAAGTCTTGAGCTCCACTGAGGAAGGGCTAGCAAACGTCCATTTCAAGAAGGATTGGCCATCGCTGACAATCACCGAGATACAAGCTGCACACTTACTCAGCTGCAGTCACCCCCTCTGACAACACCTATCCTGCCCACTGTCCCTCTCCAGCTCTGATCACTTCACAGCACACTGATCCAGGAAAACCACATGGAACAAAATGGCTAAAGATTCCAGGGAGCCCCAGACTCTCTGAAAGATGAACGGTTCTCTAGTAAATAAAGCTGGCAGGCCTACACAATGGCTATCTGTAACAGTCTGAATATGTTTGGCCCAGGGAATGGCATTATTAGATGGTGTGGCCTTGTTGAAGGAAACGTGTCACTGTGGGGGCGGGGTTTGAGACCCTCCTCCTAGCTGCCTAAGAGTCTTCAGTCTTCTCCTGTTTGTCTTTGGAACAAGATGTAGAACTCTCAGCTCCTTCAACACCACCCTTGCTTGGATGCTGTCATGCTTCCTGCCATGATGACAATGGACTGACCCTCTGAACCTGTAAGCCAGCCCCAATTAAATGTTGTCCTTATGAGAGTTGCTTTGGTCATGGTGTCTGCTCACAGTGGTACAACCCTAACTACGACACTGCCCCATTCTTGAGTCTTGGCTAACACAGCATCAATGTGGTTTGGGCATTCCAACCTCTTCCATTCAACAGTGTCTTTCACCAAGACACTTTGTGAGCACTTGGATCTTGCCAGCAGCAGGCTTAAGCCTAAGAATTATAAAAGTGTGACCATGAAAATGTATGAGGAAGTCACAGAGGATGCCACAAAAGTGTCCTCGGTAGGAAAGGAAAACTCACAAGACAATGGCACCAATTTCTGATGCTGGGCACTGTTCCATATGTGAGGTCCAGAAAAGGCGCAGTCGTCCACTAACATCCAAAGGAACACTGAGAGTAATGGCACCATGAGGGTTAACTGCACAAGACAGGCAGAGATGCACCCAGTCGTACTCATGAAGAGCAGGCCGGAGGACTGAAAGGTCTGTGCCAGCCTGGCATCTATAGTGACTTGAGGCTAAGTTTGGAAAGCAAGACCCTAGCTCAAAAAAAAAAAAAAAAAGCAAAGCATGGAATCAGGCCTTTGCTCAATGACTGCTTACGACAGCTGAACCACAGCCTTCCTCCGCTCACTACAAACGCCATTCTAACTAGCACACTAGCCTCCAGCTTCTAACCCAGCCTGGCCTTCAGTCTCCCACAGGCTTAGCTCCATGAAGTTTAACTCATCCACTCAGATACTTCACAAGAGCAGGCTGCACAAAAGTGTTAAGGGTTTCTTAACTCTAACTCGTAAGACATCTAAGAGGAAAGGTTAGAGTAAGCACCTAGCTGTTCTCTCAAGGTTCAGAAACGCTACCTCTGAATGAGTCTCACCTCTAACTACTAGAAGAACAAGACCCCAGTTCCCATGGAAGACGAGGCCTTCAGTATGAGATATCAACTGGGACCCTGAGGGCTCTTCTGCATAGAGAATGGGAGAGGCAGGGTGTGCTCTGTTCCTGTCCACGGGGTTCTCGTCTGCTGGTGCTGCTCCACAGAAGTTCACAGGCTAGACTGGCACCCCCATCTGACAGGCCCCCGACACTGTGGTGTACACAGGAAAGCAGAGGTAAGATCTTCCTCCTCTCTGCTGCCCTGCAGTCCAGAAGCACACCTACGGATACTGTGGCTGCTCCACAAGTAACTCCTTACTGAACCAACACAACAGGAAATGCTCAAAATGGAGATTTTTACCTTTTTCCGTTTTTATCATGTAGACCAGATCCCCAATACTTAGGAACACCAAGGTACTTCAATTTATGTGTACGAATCCATTTCTGAACTAGAAGTTAAAAGAGAGGCTTGTGATTTCAAGTACTGTATGTAAATGGTCATTTCAGAACAAGTCACTAAGAGCAGAGCATCCTTACATGTGATACAAAACCGCCTCTCCTCACAAAACAGCACGTAAAGCACACAGGATAACCCACACCAAGTATGATTTAAGAGTTCACCAAACTGCAAAAACAGCAGCGTGCTGTTATCTATCCGAAACGGTCCGTCTATGAAACCACTTCTGAAGCAGAAAGCAATAGCACTGCCTCTTGGGTCACCTTCTAGTCATGAGTGTGCTTGCTTCCACAAGAAGACTGGCGTTCACCCCAAACTCTGGAAGTGTGGCGTTGTCTCCGTCAGTGTTTACATCTCTTCCTCCCCTTGCCAGACTCAGGAGCAGGGGTAGAGGCTCAGCTCCCGCTCCCTCACGGTGAGGCGTTCGTTGGGGCCTCAGATGTACACAGTTGGGAGCAGCAGCTCAGGGCCAGCCCCAGCTCATGCCTCAGGATCTATCCAAATGCTCAAACGTAAAAGGCCTTACACTCACCCGTGGGAACTAGGCTCATTCATGTATTTTAGGCCTTAGAACATTGATTATTTCATATGCCAACAGGCCATAGAGCAAATACATCATCTATACATCAGAGTGACTCGTGCAAATACCATCTGAACGGTGTTATGGATAAGCAAATGAAAACAGAGACATAGGATGTGGCACTTTAACCTCGGCTTGGTGAAATAAAGCCAGGTAAAGTACTTATTTTAAAATGTTTACATCTTTAATAAGGCAATTTTAAATGTGTTCATTGTTCCTTACTTTGCTCTGGTTTGGCCGCCCTCTGGTAGAACTTTAACTCAGTGAAAAGAGGTCCATTGTCACTGGGCTCCTTAGGATACAAGACCGGTTATAATTAATGAATTATTTATACTGAGCCTTCAAAATGGAATCAATCTAACTTTTCCTACAAACATAACGTATCTTTGATACTTAAATTTATAACTATCAAAAGATTAAATTCAAGTCCTTAGAAATACTTAATAAGTTCTCATAATAATTTTTCTTTCTCTTAAGCTCAACTTTCATAATTGATACATTATACAAAATCAGAAACATCATTCAGTCTTTGCAGAAGTTTAAGGCAAATGTTTAAACTAACTTTTGTCTTTATTAAGCAAAGGCCACCAACCATGCTAAGTGTATCACCACTAAGAGGCTACAAGACACTTCAGAGATGTAATAAAATTCCAACACCTGACTTAGCCAATTGATGGTAGAATCCTATCCCTCTCCTTGCCCTAGCGTGGCTCAGCCTAGTTCTTAGAAGCGGAGGGCCATCTGCATCGCAGAGTGAGACTGCAGTGTGCCTTCTCTTTCTGACACTGAATTCTCTTCCTCAGACCAACAACCTTAGGACTCTTTTTAAGTCAGAAAGAAACTGGAACTAAATAACTGTTTTCTCCAACTTGACTAGACAATCCCTATTTCTCATTTCAAGGGATAGTAACCATCTGAATTATTTGTAAAGAGGCAAACATTTACAAAAAAGATATTTTATACAACAAGAGATAACAGCCCTTAAAGACTTTCATGTCGTTTAACAAATATGGGAAAGAAAACACAATTTTGTTGGCTTTTTAAATAATGAATTTTGTGTGACTGACTGACATAAAATAGCATGTACTTAATGTTTAATATTTTATACTGGTTTAAAAGCAGTGATAACCTCAAACACGAAAGCAAAGATTCCTAAACTAATCTGAGCAAAATATTTGGGACAGAAGGCCCGTATGGCTGGAGTCAAAGCTTCAGAGCTCATCAGAACCAGCAGACCCGAGCTGTGGCGTGACAGTGTGTATTCTCCACTTCAGAGATGTCTGCTCCAAACGCTGAAACTAACGTCCATCCACTACTTCACTGAGGAAATCCAACTACTACAGAAGTTCATTTTGGTCCTTGAAGTGTCAGTTAAAACCTCTGTCACAAAGACAGCTCTATCAGCTCAGATGTATTGGAATTCAAATGACAGCTATCTCCAGGTAACATGCTCACAGGACTCTGCTCATCTAGCAGAGTACCTAGACACAAACGGCCAACACTCAGCTTAGAGAGAACCTGAGCAGTCTGCCATATGTGTACAGCTCAGCCTCCGAAGAGTGGTGTCCAAGGGCATGTCACCAAGCCCCACTGGATCCTATCGGTACACACAGAGGCAAATGCTGAGCCCCAGATAGAGGTGCTATGCAAGAAACCCTCCCACACCTGTAGATCCTTCCCTAGCAGCAACAGAAGCCAGAAATGTAAGCAAGCGTTTCAAGCCATTGTCCAAGCAAGTCACAGAATCAGAGTAAAACAAGAAGAAAGTGAAATTAAAGAAAAGGAATCTTGGTTTTAGCTTTCAGAATGACTCATTACTAAAACTCTAGCTTAAACGACACTCTCCGAGACCACTCCTGGCTTATTACCAACAGCATAAGATTTTTGATTTATTCAGTTTTAGCCTATATCATATCAACTTTAATTTTCAAGTTCCCTTCAAGCAATAATTTATTAAACTTATAATACAAATCAACCATATAAATCAGGACACTCTAATGAAGGCTCCTGAGCACTTTCAGACATTTTTCTGTCCAATAGGCTTCCAGTATGACAAAGTGAAGAGCTACTTCTTGGCGCTGAGCTCCAGCTGAAGCGAGCTGTCTATGGAGAAACTACCTTAACTCACAACTAAAACTGTATTAACATATTTCAAACCTAAAATACTTTGCCAACTCTATAATAGCCAAGATTTAGAAAAGAAATTGGGACTGACATTTTAACTAGAATATCACTAAACGTTTCCTTAAGACTTCTAAGTGTCAAAATGACGATGACAACAGGAAAAAAAATTAAAATGTGATATATTTCAATGGCACCATCCAAAAGCAACTGGCTGCCATTTAAAAATGAAGCTGTACAAAGTTTCTCCTTCTTACCAAAAAAAAAGAAAAAAAGAAAAAAAAAGGAAAAAAAAAAGAAGATATCTGAATTGAAAATTAGAAACACTCATCACAACATCAGGCAAAGCCCTTCCCAGGAGGCTGTGAAATACAGACCCCATCAGTTGTGCCCCAAGAAAAGGACATCACACACCAACTCGTAAGTGGCATCAACTGGAAGTCTATCTTCAGGCTCCAACTCTGCTCCCATGAAGGTGAGGACTCAGAGAAGTGATATCTTACTGACGCTGAGGTTTGGTGGGAGAAGGGAGTCAGAAAATTCTCGACTCGGACTGTCCAAGTTACTTCTTTATTATTTCTTCCTGGTGTGTGTGTGTGTGTGTGTGTGTGTGTGTGTTTCTGTGTCTGTGTGTCTCTCTCTGTGTATGAGTGTTTCTGTGTGCGTGTGTGCATGCATATGTCTGTCTGTGTGTGGATCTGTGTGTGTGTGTGTGTGTGTGTGTCTGTGCCCTTGTGTGTCTGCATGTGTGTCTCTCTGTGTGTATGAATGTGTCCGTGTGTGCATGTGTATGTGTCTGTCTCTGTGTATCTGTGTGTATGCATGTGTCTATGTGTGTGCATGTGTGTGTCTGTGTGTGTATGTGTGTCTCTCTGCATGTGCTCTCATGCACAACCTATGAAAGCACACATAAGCTAATGTCCTGACAATACAGCAGTGCTGTCCCACACCTGCTTGCATCAGTCAAAGATGAAGGCCCCAAACAGAAACAGACACCTCCCTGGGTGGGAGAGAGTGTGCGGTGTGCAGGAGATGCTGAGACATTTCATTTATATGTGTATGTTATGTTCATGCCAATGCCAAATACAGGAGCCATGTGTAACCTCACCCAGGAAGCTGGCACGGCAGAAGGAATTGAGCTTTTGAGGTAGAATCTCAGAGTACAACTATTGGAAAGGACCTCAGAATGAAGCTACAGGTCTGCAGAGACATGACCTCAGCCGTCACAATGCTCCGGCCTCTACTCTGGTTCTCAATCTGGATGCAAAGGAGCAGCTGGCCGACTTCTCAAAGACACCAATGGCCAGGCACTATGCAGCTTCATGACACATACAAGGGCTGGGAAGTACTGCTTGGCATATGATTACAGAACTTCACAACAGCAACCAACGTGGCTGTGTTTCTTAAATAACTTGCCCAATTTTGCTCTAAAAATAAAAGGCATGCTCATGTTTACAGTGCATGAGGATCGTGGTGTGTTTGTTCACAGAGCCGTCCTATAAAGAACTAAGCTTCACATCTTGCTGTTCTGTTACTCATAGTCAGTCGCTCATGGTCTCTGAAAACATGAACCTTGGCTGGAGTTGCAGCAGTCACAGAAACCTGTCCAGCAGCCAGGGGGCTTTGCACCCATCTCCAGCACCGCATGCACACACCGGAAACGCACATGCACACACACAGTTAACAATCTTCATGTATATGTCTGAATGGCAACTGTTCTGATTTTAATTCGGAAAAGGTGCGATAATCATTCTACGTGCTTGTATTTGATGTCTCCTTCACCTTTAAAGACCACAAAGCTGTCAGAAGGGAAATGACAACCGGGCCTATTCCCAACAGAGGAAAGTAAATGGCGACAAAGGGATCAAAGTGAATGAACAGAAAAGCAAGAAGAGGGAGGAGAAAATTATACCTAAGAAAGTATTTAAACAACAAACAAAACAAGCGTGTAAGAAAAGTATAAGTAGAGGACATTTAAAACAAGGGCACTATTGACTTAAAATCTACGTAGAGAAAATAAGCACAAACATTTTAACAGACATCATGAAAAGGGTATTAGAAATAAAACTGTATAATAAATGGGAATCCAGTGATTGACACACTTTAAAATTTAAAATAATTGACAAATTTAAAGGGCCCAAAGACTTCAGTCACCAAGGGAGCAGCAGCCAGCTCTGGCTGGGGTCCCTCTGAGGGCTGGGCAGCTGTTCTTCCAGGACCATAAACTGAAATACAGGAGAAAAAAAGCAAGCACCCACTGCCCTTCACAAAGAGAAGGACAAAGGACAACGGAAGACACAGAATAGACTAAGTCTGAAAACAAACATCCTTAAAACCTAGAAATTCAATGTGCTCTGATAAAGTAACTGCAGATACCTCTCCGATGAGGTTCCTCAGCTAGTTACGTGAAAAGGGCGGGAAGTGAACACTTAGGATGAGGCTCTCGATTCTAAGATAAAGCATTAGTAAGAGAAACAGAACGAACATGGTCATTTAGCGCTTTCCCTCCACGACAGAGAAACAAGTATACCAATTATACAGGGCAGAGCAGAGCAGAGCAGAGGGTCTGAGAGCCTGGACTGCTTTGACCCACATGGTCATGAGACACAGGAAACTTGCTTTCTTCTCACTGGAGTGAGTCCTTTGAAGGTACTGAGGAACTGATCCCCCACCCCCACGCCAAGGTACCATGTTTTCAATGTGTATAGAACAGAAGGCATAGAAACTTCCTACAACCCCCAAGCACATGACAAACACCACAGTAAGAACTCTAGTTCCTCTGACCTGACAGTAGCCCACCCCTGTGGTTCAGAAGAAATGTCAGAACACAATGAGAAAGAAAGCTCCAGACCAGAGGACAGAAAAGAGGGAACTAAGCAGGAGACAGACATTGGCACTGACTGAGAAGGAAGGGCAGCTGTGCTCTGGGGATGAGATGGGACGTGCTCACCCAGAGGTCCTTGGGTCCAGTAGAACACTACTGGGACCAAACAGCAAGTGCAACTGACACCAAAGCATTCAAACTGCAGGAGTCTAACACAGAAATACCTCTAGAAAAATTAAAGACCATGATGCTTTATGAATAAAAACACGAAAGTCCCTGCAAAACATGAGCAAAGCCCCTCCAGAATGGTGTAAGAAGCCTGCCTCAGCTTACCTAAGTAGGGTGTGCACTACAGGCTCAGTTCAGTATCAGAAGCCACAGTAACTAAATAAATGAGAATAGGCTTATGAGTCAGCCTAAGAGACATATTAAACCATTTAAAAATGAACAGGTAAACTAGAAGGCAATAGTTATAACATGTATCTGAAAATAAGATCTATCTAGAACAACTCTTCCTACTCAATTATATAAAGCTACACAATCCAGTTATTAAAAATAACCTTCTTAAGGAGAAAAGAATCAAGACACTGAAACACTTATCACACAAAATCACACAAATGGCAGACACTCAACAAGGAAAAAGGGCTCAGTGTTCATGCAGTAAACGCAAACCCAACAGCAGCCAGACCTCACACCTGCCTCCTGGAAGGGCTGGGAAGTGAGCATGCTCACAAAGCCAGGCACACCCACTTCGGGCAAGCACTGGATCAGACAGAGCTGTCAGTCAACCACTGGCAATACAAAAACCAGCATAGCCACTTTGGAAATATGTCTATAACTTTTTTAAAATTTTGGATGTGTATTCTCCCTACTGACAAGTAGTTTAGCTTCCAAGAGACACAAAAGCCCATCCCCCCAGAACATCACTCCAACAGTCTATGTGGAAGGTTTGCCCAAATCCACCCAAACTGCAAACAGCCCAGATTCCTATCAACATGTCAGTAACGGGCAGTGAATGAGCCTGGCAGACGGCACACGCCTTTAATCCCAGTACTCAGGAGGCAGGGGCAGGAGGATCTCTGTGAGTTCGAGGCCAGCCTGGTCTACATAATGAGTTTTAGGACAGCAAGGGCTATACAGACACCCTGTCTCAAAAAAGACAGGGCAGGAGTCGATGATAGATGACTGATATCCTAAAAATACAGGTGACTCCTTTAAAATGCCATACTAAAAACACAGGATATTTCTGATAATACCCATAGATAATGCTCTAAGCAGGGGAAATACCTAAGACGGGTTGAGACAGGGCTCAAACACAGGACACAGAACTCTCTAGAGACTGCAGAATGTTCCACAGAGGGCATGAGTAAAGCATTTACACATGCCTGTCCCAAGTGTTCAAATACTGATTTATTAGCTATATAGTTTGCTGAAAAATTAAACTTCTTAGTAATATCTTTAAAATGTTCACTAAAACAAAGGCTAGTGATGGCTCCGTAGTTAGAGCACTGGCTGCTCTTCGAGAGGACCTGGATGGCTTCCCAGCACCCACATGGCAGCTCACAACCATCTGTAACTCCAGCTTCAGGGTCCCAAGGCCCTCTTCGGCCTCAATGGTACCATGCATGCACAAGATGCACAGACATAGATGCAGGCGAAACACACAAAACAAACAACTTAAAGAGAAAGAACAAATCTGGTCTAAGATATCTGGTTCCTAGGGAGTGGGATATACTTCTATCTGAATACAACAAAAGGAACCAACCAATTCTGAGGCATCCTCTTCCCCAGCTTGTCTAACCTTTAAGCAGAAGAAAGGGCACAGGGAAGAGGGCGCTAAGGGTCCTCACAGATCAAAAACAGGGAGGGCAGAGCCATAAACAATGTTGATCAAAAGATGAGTGAGTAGTGAGGAAACACACCAGTGACCGACAGGAAAACAGATGCCTCTTTGTGCTCCAGTCTGGAACTGGCCTAACTACTTGGTATCCGACGGGCTGCTTGCTACCAATCGTGTGCATCCAGAACTGCAGCGTGAGCACTGTGAAGAAAGCTCTACCAGTGCAGGGGAAATCACGACTTCTTAAAATGAACAGGGAAGGGAGTAAAACAGACAGCAGGCAAACTAAACACACAAACAAACAAATGTCCGAACAAAGTAAAGTCAGCTTAGCATGATGTTACAAGATATAAAGAGAAAACACCCCCCCTAAGGTAAACAGCCGAAACAGACAGTCTCAGCCCTGCAGACCCCCGTGGTCTCTCAGACACCCTCAAATTGTGCCACTCTAGTATGGGGGAGCTTAAGACTCTGAATTCAAGTTACTTAAAACTAAAAAGCTACTATGTGCCATATTAAATATTTATGAAAGATTATTAACAGTCAATATCTTATAATTTAACTAAGTCTAGTCATCAAAAAATATGCTTTACAAGATAAATACCAATTATACTGAGAAAAGAAAAAACTGAGCAATATTTCCTTACCACTTTCACAACACAGGGCGCGTCACTGCCAACCGGTTTGGAAGAATTTGTGTCCGCTGTTTAAAGAGACAGACATTTGCATCAGAACAAGGAACGTTGCACCGACACAGATGACAGACACTTAGGCCTACAGCCCTGAGCCCCCCTGAAGTGTGAATCCCACACCCCAAATGGCATTTCAGAGCATCGTTATAACACTGCACCTAGTCTAAGACTTGGTTCATAGGTAGAATGTATCTAGCAATTTTAGGTTTCTTCAATTTAATCAGATGTTACAGGAAGTTGTACACAAAGCTAAAACTACTTCTTCCATTCAGCAGTCCTCTGGTGTTCAGTCTGCTGATAACTGTGAACTCCTGGAGGATGGGACTGATGGAATCCCTGGGTCTAGTCAGCTGTAAAAGAACATGTGGAGGCAGAGGAACTGACTCCAGTCACTGGTGAGCACACAGTGACACCTGAGCCATTGCCACGCAGAACAGGAAGTTTCTCCAAGCTCATTGACAAGTATCTCATGTCATTTTCTAAGAAATAAGAGTTTGCAAGTGGACAGGAACAAGAAAGTCCTTCCACTTCTCGCTGTCACGTGAGCAGTAAAATGCAGACATCAAGTAAAATACATAGTAGAGTACACTATGACGTGACAGAAGACATGGGGGAATTTAAACAGTAAGGGAGGTCGCCAGTGCTGTAGTGTGCTAAGGGAGCCTGGGTGTCATTGAAACTATGGAGCAGTTCAGGCCATGGGAGCTCAGGAACAACAGTCCACAGAGACTGGCACCACAGCCCCAATAGGGGAGTGTTATATGAACTGCAAAGCCAGGAGACCAATGCACACAGAGAAAATGGGATGCAGACGGTGCAGAGACCCATGAGAAAAGGAGCAGAGGGTAAAAAAGAAGGGCTGAACACATTGGATGAAGGTTGAGGCTGCTGCTGAGACTGAGACACAGAGCCTCCAAGGTTTTGTCAAAAGGACTAGCATGGTCCAAATCTGACTAGACTGTTTAAGAGGGCTGTGTCAGCCAAGAGCAGAAGCAGGCAAGCAGTGGGCAGAGTGTGGTCTGACAGCTGCACAGGCCCAAGGTGGTGCTAGCAGACTGTGCTCATGGACTCAAAGAGCAACTAACAGGACCCTGACGGGCTGGAAACAGACAGTAAGCGCTTCTAGGGTTTGGGCAGAAAACTGCACAAAAGCAACAAATGGAGAAACACAGGAGAGATGTTTTGCGGTATTTTGTTTGAGATGCTTGCTAAACATCCAAGTTCAGATGTTATTAATCTAAAATGTTCCACAGGCTTGTGATTTGAACACTTACTTTCATCTGGTGGTATTATTTTGGGAAGCTGTGGACCTTGAACAGGTGGACCCTAACTCAAGGAAGTAGGCTACTGGCTGAGGGCCTCTGTCAGCTGGTTACAGCCACAGCCAGTTCTGACCTACACGCTCTGCATCCTAGTCTGTGCACTGTGGACAGCCACCATGGGTTCCATCCACCACCATGTTCCCCAGGTCTATGAGTGCAACTGTCTGTGAGCCAAAGTAAATCCTTCCCCTTAGGGTGTTTCTGCCAGAGCAACACACGGTGCTGATGCAGATCTTAGCCCCTTACAGATACAAGTCTGGAGCTCGTAAATGATTAGCAGAGAAACGCCAGCATCTGGGTAAGGCTCGAGTTCAAAGGGTTACTAGCACATGCATGCCTCACGTGGGTGAGGTCTAGGTTCAGTCTCCAGCACAGTTTACATGGAAAAGCCATTTATTTAGAGCTGAGAGAAATCTCCTTGGGAATGAACAAAGAGAGAAGAGTACTAGGGCTGAAGGTAAAGGCACTGTCACCTTACAACAGAGGACAGGCAGACTGTGAGAACAGCCACAGAAACCAAGTTAGAAAACCATACAAGAGCTGCAGCCAAAGCACCTCAGACAGGAGAAGCACTAGCTTCTCGAAACGCTCACCAGCTACCTAGGAACAGCCGCAGGGAGCAGCATTTAGATACTGACTTAGTAATAAGGCAGGTTCCAAATCTTTAACAAACATGAAAATGAAGATAGGATCCTATTAATGCTGCACACTCAAATGAGAAGAGGGTAAAGAAACGCAATGACTTATCCACAACACATGCACACGCGACACCAGGCACAAAGAAGACAAGAACTACACCTTGTCAACAAGTCCCTGTGTGTGTATCCTGGAACTGAGAAACGTATTCGAGTGTGGAAAGAAAGCATTATGAAATGTTAGGGAATGACAGGGAATCCGCATGCGCATGCCCTGCCCTAACCTCGGCTTTGGAAAAGCAGCACTGTGTAACAAAATGGAGAGAGAGCCGCACTTCCGGGGTCAGACATGCACACTGGCACTGCTGATCTCACACAGGGCAGCATCAGTGTATCGGTGCCCACAGCAATGAAGGCACAGCCTGCAAGCAAATCCTCCAGACAGAAAGCAAAGTCCTAACTCACAGACTGCTCACTGAGTACTAAAACACAATCAGCCTACAGCACCTGCTAACGACAGAAACAAAATACCCAACACACAGGCAAAGCAAGTTCCAGATCTGCAAAGGGCCACAAAAGGAAGGACACTGAAAAGAGGAGCACGTAGGAGCATGGTGGCCCTGAAAAAAAGACCACATGGGAGCATGGAAGCTGAAGCACAGATTTTAAGGTGATTAAAAGGGACAACCTACTCAACAAGTTCCTGCTAATGCACGCCAATTCCCTACAGCAACCCCAGCACCTCCTCTAGAGCACAAGCTTGAATGTGCACTTGGCCATCAGAACTAACATACTGGTGTGGATGAGATAAAGCACCCCCCATAAGGCCACAGCAGACACAGCTGATGGCACTATTGGAGGAAGTTCTAGAAACGTGAGAGGCAGGACATAGCTGGAGAAGATCACTGGGTGGTGAAAGCCATCAGAGACATCTTGCCCTGGAGCCGCCTTCTGCTTCCTGTGCACCAGAGGTGAGACTCGCCTGTCTCATGCCCTCCGCCTGAACACATAGGGTGTTGAGCCAAACAGCACAGACTGACACCTCTGAAATCAGGAACCACAATGATCATGTGGTTCAATCACCACATCCTACCTGGGATATTTTATCATAACAATGTGTACACTTCGTGAACAGCTACTTCTCCATGGTTTCTGAAGACTTCACCTTATATAAATACAGCCTACTTTACTAGGAGAGCTCTAAGTCCAAACAAAAACAGAGAAGCAGCATGTATGTCTCCAAAGGCCAGTACAGTCTCCATGGTGAGAAGCGATGTTTCACGAACTGTGTTTCGTGTCAGCTGTGTTTCATGAACACTAGCGAAGAGCAGGGTATCCACTCAGGGGTGTGAAGCCAGCAAGTGACTGAAAGCAGCTGTCTCCTACCATGGCTCTCAAATCCCAGAATGCCCCATCACTTGGAGAGCCTGTTCAAACAACACTGCAGGCCTTCCCTATGGTCTCTGAATCACAGGTAGAGTGGAGCACAAGAACAGCAATTCTGACAAATTTCCAGAAGATGTGACCCTTCACTGTAATATCAGCATTCCAAATCAGACGTTGCTTGAAAGAAGTTTTCATTTTATAGTAGCTGTTAGCATTCTCTCTAAACTCACCCCCACAGTTACCTGGCAACAGCCAGGTAGATCTGGCCCACTATAAAAGGGGCTGCTTGTCCCCTCCTGTCTCCTGTCTTGCTCTTGCTCTCTTGATCCCTGTCCCCTCTCCCCTTTCCCCTCTCTCCATGTGGTCATGGCCGGCCTGTACTTCTCTTCTTCTTCTTCTTCTCCTTCTCCTCCTCTTCCTCCTCCTCCTCCTTCTTCCCTTTCTCACTCCTTCTCTCTCTCTCTCTCTCTCTCTCTCTCTCTCTCTCTCTCTCTCCCCCTCTCCCTCTCCCGCTCCCTCTCCCTCTTTCTCTCCCTCTCCCTCTCCCTGTCCCTCTCCCTCTCCCTCTGCCTTTACTACCCTCTTAACGTCCCTCTCCATGCCCTGAATAAACTCTATTCTGTACTATACCAGTGTGTGGCTGGTCCCTCAGGAGGAAGAGCTGCCTCAGCATGGGCCCGCTGACACATCCCCTTCCCCCACAGCTCACCACACACACCTCCACAGAACATACTCTCTTTCTCTTTATCTTTTTATAACAAGAATTCTTATAATTAAGAAGTTAAGTAGTTTCATATTGCAGATGTTTACATCTGTGTTTTTTTTTTAAATGTCTACACATTTCATTCTATGTAAACTACTATTAAATATAACATTTGAAACTTTGAGGGTGAGAGCAATGGCTAAATGGTTAGGAACACTGCTGCTTTTCCAGGACCAGGGCTGGCTCTCTACCTTCCACACGGTGGCTCACAACCATCTCTAACTCCAAGCTCTGGGATCCAACTCCTTCTTCTGGCTGGTACCAAAAATATATAATTTTTTCAAAAGTTGTGCCAGGCAGAGGGGCATATGCTCTTATTCGTCACTTGGGACACAGAGGCACGAGAATCTCTCTGAGTGCAAAGCTAATCAGTCTCACAATGAGACCGTCCCTTTCAAAAAAGAGAAAGGTAATCATCCATTAAGAAATTAAATAACTAGTTAACTAATTAAATCAAAATTAGAAATAAAAGTGCAGTTGAAGCCTACCTCAGCTATATGATGCCTTAAAAACCAAAATTTATAATAACAAAACAGAGTGAGGTAAAACCACAGAATGCAAAAATGGAGAGAAGTGCCGAAAGCAAAGAGGACGGGCAGTAAGTACACTCCCTCGAGTATTCTTGGGAAGGAGACAGTTGTACCTGCAATCAAGGTTTTTGCTTTCCATTTTGTTCTGTTTTGGCACAGGGGCTCACTATATAGCCCTAACTGGCCTGGAAATCACAGATCTGCCCGCCTCAGCCAGTGCTGGGATGAAAAGCCTGCAGCACCCCAGCTAGGTAAACCTGCTGCTGCTGTTCTTGTTCCTTTGTTCTTGGTCTTGCTGTTTACTAGGGTTTCTTTGTATAACCCTGGCTCTACAGACCAGGCTGGCTTCAAACTCAAGAGATCATTTGTTGAGGTTTGGTCTTATGCTGTGTGTTGCAATGCTGAACACTGGCCCCCAAGGAAAAGAAAATCTGTACACATACAAGTGGTGATATGAAACCTTGCCCGCCAAGCTGTCCCTGATTGATGACTAAAGATGCCTATAGCCCATAGCTGGGCAGAAGAGAAGCAGGCGGAGTTTGAGATCTGAGGAGAGACAACAAGGCAGGGAGAAGAGAGAAGGTGGAGAGAAGAGAAGTTAGGTGAGTCATGAAAACATAGCCATGAGATCTGACCAATTGGATTTAAGAGCGGCCCAGTTGGAACATGGCAAGTTATAATTTGGAGTTATTGATGGGGAAGTAGATTCTAATAGCTTTGAGGGTTGACATCTGCCCAGCTCTGGTCCATTAAAGGCTTATCATAAACATAAAAGTTGTGTGTCTTTTATCTGGGAACTGAACGATCCAAGGTGGGGAGGAAACCCCTGAACTGAGATTGAATTCCTACTATAACAAACACTCCTGCCTCTGCCTCCCCAAGGCTGGGGTTAAAGGTGTGTGTCACCACCACTGTCCAGCAGGTAAACCATTTTTAATGTTGATAATTAAGTAAACTCACAGAAGATCAGGATTCTAACTTGGTTTCCAACTATCCCAAGATAAGCATGCTGACTAATACAACCAACATAGGTCAAGCTCAACAGGAAGTGGAGACATTTTAAAAAGCTATAGCTGTAAAGATCTGTAAAATGAGCTAAACAGAGTTGGAGTCAATTGCCCCTGGCTGAGGTAGAGGGAAAACGATAGATACAGCTCTCTTTCAGCCTCAAGAGAGCCTGACTGGTCTGTGTAGCAATCTGAAGAGTCTAAGGATACTATATTTATAAGTGACACAGTATTTCAGCATTTTGTTCTTTTTGTATAATAAGATGAGCCATCTTCTAATATGTCAAAGGTGAACTTACTTATGGCCAACCATATTCTCCTCAATTAACACAGATATCATTGGCACCTTGCAATAGCTCAAATAAGAACTATGCCATAAGAATCATTTGAATCTTCCCACTGATGACTAGAATTCGCAAGCACTCACCCAGATAGATGCAGCCGAAGCCACCTTGGCCAATAGGCAATCCTAGTTTCCATTCCTTTCTAGACATGTCGGTTATGATCTCTCCAGCGGCAAACTGCTCTGCCAGGCGCCTCTTTGCAGGTCCCTGTCTTCCAGCCTGAGCTGCTTTTACACGGGGCATTTTCACTGTAACACAAAACAAAGCAACTTTCCTCACAATTATAACCTTAGAAGTGTTCAAAACATTCCCCTATAGACGGAGTCTACTCAACAGAGGTTATTCAAGACCAGAGAAGGACATCCACGACTTCTGGTCTTTAACAGCTAGGATCCTATTCGGTTGTCACTAAGCTCGGCAGAGGAGACCATAAACAAAATGATCTATGCAATTATGGAAAGCACTTTAAGTCCCAGTAGCCTATCATCTATGACTAAAATACTATTTCATAACAACAAAACAAGAACTGTTTAGTGCAACTGAGGGAAGGCATGCAGTTAGAACACACAGCATCTAGTCACGTAGCCAAGAGATCTTTACTCAGTACAGATGTGCTGAGCACAAGCACAGAGACTACAATCTCAATTAGGTGTGTACAAGGGCATGGGGACACCAGAGTGGGTGCTGAGGAGGAAGGCTGCAGCAGCCCCACTCACAAAGGAGGACACAGGCTCAACAGAAGTGACACACCACCAGCTAGTTCCACAAAGTCCTGGCCATCTGATGTGTCCCTTCTCCCTGGGCATTCTGGAGAAGTAGCTCATTTGCTTTCTCACCAGCACAAGTGTAGCAGTGCTCTGGGAAAACCGTTTTACTAGGGGAGAGCATAGCTGGAATCAAAAGCTTTGGAGCCAAGTGGGCAACTGGCTAGTTGGGAAGTCTTGATTAAAGCACATATGTGTAAGCTTCAAGTGCATTCAGGTATAACCACTGCACCGTGTACAACTGTGTGTGCACATAAACACACAGTTTATGACTGTATGAATCCAAATTCTTCTTTCTATTAACGCTGACTCAGAAGATTTTCTTAAGATTCTACAGTTCCCTAAAAACTGCAGAAGAGAGAAGAAGAGAGGAAAGTGATTGAAATAGACTGGTCTGCGACACTTAGAATGCCATTTCAAATGGGAGTCTGCTAAGATGTGACATTTTGAACTCAGATACTAAATATACAGACTATATTAAAAGGTTTATTTTCTTTGAACTTGGAGAGGTGGCTCAGTGGTCAAAGAGCACTGACTGCTCTTCAGAGATCTGAGGTTCAATTCCCAGCATCCACAAGGTGGCTCACAACCATCTGTAACTCTAGCTCCAGGGGATCCCATGCAGCTTTCTGGCCTCTTCTGGCCTCCTCAATTACCAGTCATGCATGTGGTGTGCACACACACATGTGGACAAAACATCCATAGACATGAAACTAAAATAGACATTAAGAAAATTGGTTATCCTCTTGTTTTTTAAAGTATGTGTATGAATCTGTCTGTGTGGGTGCGTGAGGAGGTCAAGGGTATGAGAGTCCCCCTGGAGCTGGCATGACAGGTGTTCAGTTAGCTGTGGGTGCTGAGAACTGGGAACTGAACTCAGGTCCTTCGAAAGAACAGTGTGTGCTCTTAACTGCTAGACTATCTCTCTAGCTTTATCACCACCTCTGCCTGCCCTCCCAGTATACCCACCAATTGTAACTACAAATGCATGAATTCCATACATGATGCGCGCACGCACACACACACACACACACACACACACACACGTATTTATATCTATGCATGCATATACTGTGATAGCTAATCTTGGTTGTCGGTCTGCCTCCATCTAGAATCAACTGAAACCTGGCAGCACAACACAGGATGAAAGGCCTTTCTTGATTAGACTCGAGTTGGGGAGATACACTCTAAATCAAGACGTGAAAGAAGGGAGATTTCGCTTTCAGCGAAAGCTGTCCAGGTCAAGTTCATCCATCCTCTTGCTGAGACACTCCTTCACTGGGACTAGAACCTTCTTCTACAGGACTTCCCTGACTCCAGCTCCAGTCTGGGACTGTGGAGACCTCCAGTCTTCTCTCTCCATCAGGAGACAGCCACGGATGAACTACTCACACCACTGCCAAGAGCTGTGCTAATTAATAAGTCGTCTTTCAATAGATACGTTCATTCCATCAGTCTCATCCCTTTAGAGAACACTTTTGCAGACACTTTCTTAACTGATAAGAAAATCTTTAAATCTAACTTTTCTCTTTAAAAAAAAAAAAAAGAAGAAGAAGAAGAAGCACTTCCTCAGATGGGTCCTCTCAAGGTACTTTTTAAATCTGCGCTGAAATCTTGCCCAACAGTATTTTGGTGACAGCCATGGCAACCAGGACTTAAAACTCGAGGAAAGATTAACTTCTGCACCTCACACCCCGGCGACAGCTCAACTAGAAGAACGAGCCGGAACACACAGCAGTCCTGGCACTAACGGGATTCCTTCTAAACTTCATCCGGCTTTATCAGATCACAGCAATTTCCTATTTGATTATTTCCTTATAGTTGTCAAAACAGTTTTAAATGACTTTTAAAATCTTCTCTCTGTAACTGAAGTGTCTGGACAATTTTTTTTTCTAGAATTCTTTTCCCATGCAATAAAACACCATATCGTAAGTGAAAGCCTGCCTCAGCACTTAGTGCATGTAGATTTCTTGTAAATAAAGTAGGGTGTTTCCATTCCAAATAAAACTATTGGATTTTATTTTTGGTTTTACTCTTGAAGCCAGCTATTTGGAGCTTACTGGGATAATTAAGATCAGGAATGCCACTCCTAAAACTACTACAGAACAGCACAGCGTGCCTGGTGAACTCTGAGGAGACACTGGGCGTGGTAAGGCCTCCAGGAATCCCTCCCCTACATACCCCAAACCATTCAGGGGACGACTGGAATGAACCTTAGGAGACATCCACAGGAAAACTGGGAGATGCTTCCTGTGTCCTCAACACCATGTAAGTAGATAGAGACAGGCTGGTCTGTACCTTTCCCAAAACTTCAAAGCAGTGCACACAGAGAAACCACCCCAGCTCAAGAGAAGATGCTGGGGCTGAGTGATCTTCGCAAGGATCTCACAAGTAACTTCTGGGCTTGAAACACGACACAAACCTGAACACAACAATGTGCAGTTGTGAGGCTGTGTCCCACACAAGTGACCACTGGGAAGGTGCATCCCTTCAGAAAGATACTGCCCCCCCCCACCAAAAGAAAAAAAACAGCTATGGCTATTTCAAAACAAAATAAAAATGCTAGATAGATTTGGTGGTTGTTAATCAAGAACACTGTGTAAAAGTGGAAGAGCACATAGGAGAACCTAAGCCTTCCAGCTAGGCAGTCAAGCAAGGTCAAAATTCTAAATGCAAAGTTCCAGAAATAAACAATTTATAAAATGTGCCACTCTGAGTATGAATGCATCTGGAACCAACCCTCGTCTAGCCGTAGACATGGTCCACCCCTTTCTGATTCATCCACACCAAGCATGCTGCCTTCCCACCAATCACAGGAGCCATCTGTTTCCAGAGTGATAGTGATTCTTATCACAGTGCTTGTGTGTGGCAAACATCAGCTCACCACTACCTCAGAGTGAGACAGATATCTGAGATGTAGAAACCACAGGCACCCCACATATCAGACCCTCTTCTGATGGTTTTGTTCTTGGTCACGACCATACTCTCATCTTACAAATTAAAACAGGATCTCTATTATATACACTGGTTGCAGTGTATCTAGACTCACTACCAGCCATGGTTTCTGGAATCCATTGTGATCTTAGAATGGCTCTCCTGGGATAATAGAGGACTGCTGTAATTATGTGACATCCTTAATCTATTCCTTTGTTCCTTAAAAGTCATAAATGTGAGGTAAGAAATGGGAGGTCCAGTTTAAAATGCTGTACCTGAAATAGACATAGGTGTATGACAAGCCTAGCACTAGGAAGTCAAACACAAAAGGATCCAGAGTTCAGAGCCTGCCTAGGCTACATAGAGGCTGTCTAAAAAACCATAACTATACTTGAAATTACCTCTTATGAAAAGCTTATATATACATACACAAGCCTTCATATTTAAGAGCCCCACTCACAAAAATGCTTAGAAACAATAACCAATCCAGTAACTTAATACATGCATCTCTTAGCATATATGAACTATAGTACTGAAACACTACTTCCATTAACAGAAACCTCTCTGTGTCACACTGACTCAGCCAGTAGCAAACTTGCCAGGAAAGCAGAATGACCTAACTTTACCCCCAAAGCACACGTGAAAAGCTGCCCGTTGGCATGCACTGGCAATCCCAGCACTGGGGCGCCAGAGACAGGTGGACCCTGGGACTCACTAGCCAGCTAGCCTAAACCCACCAAGAGACCCTTCTCAAAGTACATGGGTGCCTGAGGAATAACACCTGAGATGGTCCTCTGAACTCACACATATGAACCCAGAGCCTCTTCCTGCCATCATGAACATCCCTGAAGCCTTTTCTGTTGGTTCCATCCCTGCCCTAAGCAGGCTTTTCCTGGTGTGTAGCCACAACCACCTTGACAGCACTATTGTGCCAGCTTTATCTGAGATCTAGACCCATCCCTACCCATTGCGCTGGAAACCCCTCTTATTTTCTGGTTAAGAGCACCAGGAAGGCCGGGCGGTGGTGGCGCACGCCTTTAATCCCAGCACTTGGGAGGCAGAGGCAGGCGGATCTCTGAGTTCGAGAGCTCGAGGCTAGCCTGGTCTACAGAGTGAGTTCCAGGACAGCCAGGGCTACACAGAGAAACCCTGTCTCGGGGAAAAAAAAAAAAAAGAGCACCAGGAAGTCTAGTTTCTGGGAACAGGAAAGCTGGCTGTTTCGAGCTACTGTTGCTTTGCAGGCAATTTCTGAAAATGACAATTTCTTACACCCTGGAACCCAAGCTCACAAAAATAAGACAAGCACAAGCACTTGCCTTATTAAGTTAGTGAGTGCTCAAAAGAATTGCAGACACTGGTTTCAATTAAACAACTCCTTAAGTACATTAGAGGTATCTTCTAATAATGAAACCAATTCCAGCCCTGAGGCTTCTATTAAGGAATACACAGAAAAGCCAACCTGTAGGAAAGTTCAATCTCCGTAATTTCAGAACACTCAGCTCAAGCCTGCTGTAATAACAGCCTATGCAACAGAGAAGAAAGCTGGTTCA